TCTGGCGTGGGCACCCAGTGTGGTCCACACCTGAATCCGTTCCACCTTCCTTCAGCCTCCTTTGGGGTGGTAGGAGGCTCAGGACCAGATGCCCTGACTGACGTGGGACATCCCTGACCACACCCTCACTTGCTGGTGGCGGGGCCTTGAAGCAGTCGCGTCTCTTCCCTGGGAATGGCGGCCTCCTTGGGGCTTGGGAAACACGTCACAGGCTTGCCTGAAGGTGGCAGGAGGTGGCTCCGCCTCAGGTGGTGGAGAAAAACTCCGCCCCAGGACTCTCGTGCCCCAGTTCTCCTGAGGGGTTCCCTTGAGTGGAGGGCGTGGGGCAGGGAGCGTGGGCGGACTCGGGGTTCCCTGGGCCGTGTGCCAGGCCCATCCCTGAGGGGCCTTCGGGGAGATACAGGGCCTGGCCTGGGGAGCCCTGAGCCACTTTTACACTCAGTCCAGAGGGCGTGTGAGTGTGTGCACACACACGTCTGCACAACGGTCAGGAGCGGCATCCCTCCCAGGCCCCCTCCGAACTGCTCTGCTGCCTCTGGGGCTGCGGAAGGGCTTCCCCGGGAGGCACACGTCCTGGCTGGGGCCATCCCTCCGCTGGCCTTGCTGTGTGGCCTGGTGTGCAGCCCTGCCCCTCTCTGGGCCTCGGTTTCTCTGTCTTTCATTAAAGTGAGAGATTCAGTCCAGGTCTGAGGCCGCACGCCGCTGGCACCAAGGCCAAGTTCAGCTTGAGTTTTGTTTTGCTCCTTCCTTATGGTGTTTGTCAACGTGCAGAAAAAGTGGGATATTTTACTTTAAAACTCCAAATGTTCAGCGCCTCTTGAAAAACCAGGAGGTCTGGCCACGGGGCAGCCCACGTTCCCACATTCCCACGGTGGGCTTGACTGAGTGGCTTGCTTCCCGAAGTTTCCTTACACCTGGGCCCTGGCTTCTGTGCTTTCGGCTCCATAGTCCTGGGCTCCCTGATCTTTTGATTCAGCCTGTTATGATTTTGGCTTTTTAATGTCAGTTTTGTTGAAAAACCACTTTAGAAATAAATCAAAGAGGGGGAAAATACCTTTGCCCAACACAGAGCCGAATATTTATTACCGCAAGCCGTGTCTCAGGAATCTCATTGTTCTCGGGAGAACAGTAATAATAGAAATAGTAATAATTAATAATGTTAATATTTAGCATTGGTCCATCTCGCTGTAACTCAAAGAGCCTGGCAGTCGGTACCAGGAGGAAGGACCCTACACAGTCCTGTGGGGTAGGGATTATGACGCCCGCTTTACAGATGAAGAAACTGGGGCTCAGAGCACAGCTGAGCTGGGCGCTCAGAGGGAGGGCAGCCCCCAGGCTTGGGAACTGACCGTTTGCTAAGCAGCCCTGTGAAGGCTGCAGCCAGCCCGACCATTCTTCTCACAGCCCGGCTGCCCCGTGCAGGCCCACTGCTCACCCGGGTGGTAAGGGAGGACATGGGGTGACATCTGATACCATGTCACGGAATTAACGTTAAATGATCATCTGGGGAGTCTGGTCAGAACCTCCCCAATCCTCAGGTGACATGAGACCAGGACTGACCAGGACTGACCAGGACTGCATGATTGGGAAGACACTGTAGGTGTTCCAAGGCAGAGAGAAACTGTGACATGGGAGCTTCAAGAAACTTCTGTGTGTTTTCTCCTCCCTTATCCATCCACCTGCCCATCCACCCATCCACTGACCCACCCATCCATTATCTATCCATCTCTCCATCCACCCATCCCTACTTACCCATCCATCTACCCACCCACTGGCCCACCCACCAGCCCCCCCATCCATTATCTTTCCATCCACCCATTCACTTATCCATCCATCCATCCATCCATCCATCCATCCATCCATCCATCCACTCATCCCTTTACAAGCCTACTCGCCCTGGCACCCAAGTAAAGAAGAAAAAAATGGTCCAAGGGAAGAGGTCAACCAACCGTCCAGCCATTTTATTTGTCCATGCTGTGATCCAGGCCCAGTGCTGACACAACCTAGACACTGAGGGGCTCCCAGTGCATGGGGCCATGGGCTGTGATCTCAGAGGTATCTGAGTTCATCAGCATCCGTGGGCACAGAGTTCAGAGGTGCCATCTCTTGGTGGCTTAACACAATCGCCAAAGGTCCCTGCAGGCTGCCTCACACCACAAGCCCTCACCCACAAGCAGAGACACCCGGGACCAGCAGAGGCACAGGCACACACCACCCTGAATCTCCCAGGCATGTGGAGAGAGATACACAGGTAGGCACACGCAGGAGCACCGGGAACAGACGCATGCCAGCACCCAGAAGTGCTTGAAGGTGCAGTCACACGACAAGCCCAAAGATTCCTAAAGTCACACACACACACACACACACACACACACACACACACACACACACACACACACACACACACACACACACACACACACACACACACACACACACACAACGACTACACGACGACGACGAACGAACAACGTAACTAACGTACTACGTACCTACCGACCGTCCGTCCGGACGGACGGACGGTACGTACCGTTACGTT